ATATACTGTTTAAGGTTCAAGCAGTGTCTTTTAACGTTTATTGAATGGTAAGATCTTTGGAATGGTAATGACGGTTATTGCTTTAACGGTTTTGATATTGTGCTGGTACTTATGCAAGGAATTTTTTACCCAGCTGCACCAAACTTGTTTTCTGACATAAACTCTCTACGGAATTCAGATGGGTCTTCACTCTTGTATATGAAATTTCTCTGTAGTCCAGATTATGTGCATCAGCTTTTAGAGCAGAAAGCAGCGTTTCTGCCTGAACAAATGTTAATTTCTTTTTCTTCTTTAATTTTCACTGTTTCAACGATTTTAGATTCTTAAGTGTATCAAGTTTTTATGACTGGAAATGGAGTGAAATAAGTTGCCTTCACCAATTCATTTCCAAGTGAATTCTCCCGGATGTAAGGAAAACTTTATTTTGATGTTCGTAGCTGTTTTAACACTTTCAGTGACAGGTTCAGTGTAGTATGCTTTAACAAATTATGTTGCTTAATTTTCGTCAATTTAATTTTATCTGCAGGTTTTTTAATAGCTGGAATGCATACACTGAAGATTTTTCTCTCGTAAGAGTTTGGAGTTACTGTTTATTGCATTTTAAAAATAGGGGTTTTTTCGCAATTGTTGATTGCCGGTGCATTCGTCATTCATTGCCAAAGTGGCAGTATTTTTTTCTGCTGGGTGGAACGTGGTAGAGGAATTTACATTGCTGAAAACCAGGAAAGGAGACGAAATGAGTGGTACTAGGCAAATAGTAAGAAACATATGGGAAATGATTGGATATAAAAGCTTTTAAAATTTTTTCTATTATAGAATAATGTTGTAATTTGGGCCGAAGAGTTCACGGAAAGTTTGCATTAGGTTTTGAATTACTATTGATAGTGTGCATCGATGATGGTACTCGAACTACGTATATCACAAACTTTTCAGTTCTGTATTGATTGAAAAGGAGCGATCGTTGTCAGATTTGCGCTTTACGTCAGTTTTTGACCGTTTATTTTCAAAATGGTTTCAGTTGAGTTATGGAATGTTTAAGTACAAGTGTGTGACTGGTGCATTTTGTAAAGTGTTTTGAAAACTTTTGTTTGTAAATCGGTGCCACAGATGAACTTAATTGCAGCATCATTACTGATGATTAGTTTGGTTTGATGCATTTCTTCGTTTCTTGTGGTTTAGAGGTCTGACGGGCCTAGTAGAATATTCAAAATACTAATACCAGTTGTCAATGGAAAGAGAATATTTTTAATATTCAACAAATTTCTGGATTTATTGTCTCAGTTTCTTGCGGCTTTTTCACGCATCAAATTGCTTTAAGGATTCTTATATAGAGTGGAATCTCATAATGAACAGTAAAAGTTACTGACAAAGTGACATTCTAAGTACCATTGAAATCTTTCTGGTTTAAGAAACTGTGACAGAAGCTGTTTTTTGTTGGGTTACCTATTTATGTCTCTGTTAGGCTATACTGTTTCTACTGTAACGAAAGTGCAAAAATGATGCAAAATGTCCGTAATGAAAAATACAAGATTTTCATTTTAAGCGACTTATTGGTAGATTTAGTGGATCAGAAAACTCACTGTTAAAAATTCAAAAATAGCCGTGAATTTTTACTTCTTACTTTTGATAAAAACATTCGAGGGCTGCTGGTGCATTGAGTTGCGCTACGTTACAAGATTTTTTTTCAGAAAAAGTCTCGATACGAGGTTATTAGTCATTAGTTTTGTTGAGTTATTTTGCGCGAGATTGCACATTTTTGAAAGCTGCTAAGCAGCTTGAAATAAGTTTTAAATGCTAAGTATTTTGTGTTTTTTTTTCCGCTTTGCACAATTCTGGAGTCATGGGGTTTTTTGGTAAGTTATCATTTGCTAGTAGTTTATTTGCACTTCAGTGGGATCTAGTCTTGTGTTGTTGCTTGTAATCATTGATCTTTTTTTTTTTTTGTCACTTTATTGATTGGAAGAAAGGTAAGGCTGTTGGAATAGTTACCACGCTTTACTGCTTTTTTTTTTTTTTTTTTCTGCTGAATTGGGTCTGCCTTTTCTCTCCATTGGTTTCCTGTTTTTTAAGTGCGAATTATTATTGGGAACTTGGTTGATTTACAACCCTATCGTGGTAACTTTGCGTATTTAAGGTTATGGTTTATTTGTTGCATAAATTGGCCTTCTTGTTCTCTTGTAGGATTGGAAGGTTGGTAATTGAATTGATTTAATACTCATAATGCGCTTGTCTAGTTAATATTAACATTTTTAAGGTTTCGTTCAAAGACAGAGGTCTGGTTGGCGGTTTCACTAATGAATTCTTTGTAGAGTGGAATAGCAATCTGATGAGGGGATTATTGAGATCATTCAGTACGTAATACCGTTGTTTAGGTTTGGTTGAGGAGTAGTAAAACAGCAGTGCTTATTTGGTTTATTATCATTTTTTTATTCAGTTAAGATTGTGATTTCGAAAAATTGTTTTATCGAACAAAATATAGAAAGTGAGGTAGTCATAGAATTTGTTAAAGATTTACATTCTGATTGATTACTAGTTTTCAGAATAGTTTGTTGAAACATGTGGAGATGGCCTGTAGCGAAAAATGGTGCGCAATATTACCAGCTACATTTTAGGCATGCTTTTCTTTTTCATTTCAAACTTTAGGGTACATTTTGGCTGATCATTTTGTTTAAAATGTGTTTTATTGCATTATAGTTGTTTTAGCTTCACATTTTTTAGTTTTTATATTGAAGTCCAAAATTTTCAGAAACCGAAATTCAAAGTTTACTGAGGTGTCTCAGCAAAATTAGAAAAATGGCTGAAGTTCTGAAATTTGTTGAGTTTATTGATGATTTTTTGCATATTTTTAGTTGATGACTCACGGACAGTTTAAGACCAGTAGAGGATGATGTGAAAACGGATGGTAAATTTATTTTTAGGGTGTAAAATTTCTGGTGTTTTTTTCTAGATTGCCTTTTTGTCATTTAAAACACAACTGATGATTTCCGTTAAAGAGTTTTACAAAGTGGTCATGTTTCGTCTTGCAACTATAGATTTGTCTTCCAGTCCCATTAATAATTTCAGTGCACTCCTGATTTTTTAGTTTTTCTCCAAGAAGCAACGAAGATCTATCTTAACTGATACGCTTGGTTTTTCTGTTTTAGAAGTGATGTGAACGGCAGAGTAAAGCTTTTATCATCTGTGCTGTTCACACTGATTCGCATCTCTTAATACTTTGTTTTATTATATCATTTGAAATATATAGTTTTAATCATTAAATGCGCTGTACATTTTCAAAAGGAGATTATTGTATCTAGAATCAGCTGTAGTGCTGATCTTTGACTGTGCTTAGAACTGTGCAGCAGTGTTTAACGGTTTTTTAGTTGACACTTATTCAGCGATTAGTCAAAGTGCAAATTAAGGTTGAAAAAAGTCTTGTTTGTTTTGTTTGATGTTGAAGTTTGTGCGCTCATGTTTGTATGTAGTAAAACTAACTTTAGTTCTATTTTTTTAAAACACCCTTAACTTTATTCTTTCATTATTTTAATCTTAGTATGAGCGAAGAAGTTAGTAATTCGGCCGAGAGGAAGTGGTTTAAAATATTTTTGTCACTTGATCATAGTTTGGAACAGTTTGTTTTTTTGGTCGTATTTTTCAGTTTCGGAACAAGGAGAAATTGACGGGCGGCAGATAGTCTTTGCGATTTTTAAAGTTGTTGGTTTGTTTATAGTGTTATTTATTTGACCAGTTTCTTTGTCAGAATGTCATCAATTGCTGTAAGGTTTACACTGCAGTGTTATGTCGAAAGTTGCGGTCTAAAAAGTTTTGATTTGCATGCATTTACGCATTTTGCGCTTTATAAACTTGTACTTTGAATTGCTTTTAAGAAAACTGAATTTTTCTGATTATGGTTTACTTTTAATCTATTAAATGCTTAGTAGGCATTACAAAACTAATAATTGCTATTTTTCAGTGTTTTTATCAACGTTTTACTATTTTACAATCTAGTAAACAGCTTTATATTTCTGAAGTTCTTTTCTTATAACTGCTTTTATTTGATATGTGTTGTTCAAATTTTTTTCATAATATTATTTTTTAACCTCTTATAGTTTATAAAGAAAGGAATGGAATAGATTACTAAAAAAAAGAACTTGTTTTATGATTTTCTTCTCTCCGTTGCTGAAAAAAGTTGCATAGTTTATTACTCTTTCCTGATTAACTGTTTGAAATTGTAGGGATATTTGAGTCTTTTAAATTTTTAGCGAGTAGTGAGAAATAAAAACAAATTTTTAGACGAGTATAGTAAGTTTAGTGATTGTTGAAAAGTGCGCGGAGGCAATCTTATTTATTATTTATTGCTTTTTTTAGTATTTACAAGTGTCTTAAGGAGCTTCTGTAATTGTATTCTCTACTTCATTTATGGGAGGAAGTTTGTTCAGTAGTCATTTATGTGAGTAATCCTTCGAGTTCAGTCAAAATAGTCATGTGTTATCGTTTAAAACAATATACGACCTACGTTCGCACGTTGCTTTTTTTTTTTTGTCAAAGTTGGTTGCGATGATCTGTGGCTGGAAGAAGGCAGAGGGGGGGTATTAGCGGCCAATCGAAGCATTTTTAACAGTCACTTAATGTATACTTCAGAGAAAGGTGGTGAGAGCATTTTTGTGAGCAAAACTGATTTGCTTTAAATTAGCGTTACAGAGAAAGAAA